AAATTGGAAATCAATTCATGGTTTTTTCATAAAACTCATTTCCCATGAACTTTTTAAAGCCTCCTAGTAGTTTGTTGAACCGCTTTCCTACATTTGGGCACTCGTGTGAACGGTGACAGCCTGACACCCGTTGTACTCCAGTACAATGCAGACAACGCTACACTGACATCTGTGGGCTTGCCCGGGGCTGTCACTGTCACCATGGGTAGGAGCACACGCATGTACAGAGGACGGTCCTACTAGTGGGATTACAGCTCAACAGCTTATCCTCCGCCCTCCGTACTGCACGCTGCCCTCAGGTAAACCAAATCGCAATGTGCTTGTTTTCAGTAAACCAGCTACGGAAATTTATCCCAACAAATTGACCAGAACCCATCTGAGTAAGTTTTGAAAATTTTTTTTCCATTTCTTATTTTAATAGAAATGCCTGACGGTGTTCCATCATCAGGCTGCATGCATGACCAAGTGGCCAGGCCGCACAGTGGATTTCATCAGCAAATGGAACTTGAAGGAGTCCACTAAGCGCTTCCTTAGTGTTAAGGTAGCACAAGATTTTTCTTTGTTTGTTTTGGTTTTTAAAGATTTACTTATTGATTTGAAAGGCAGAGTTACAGAGAGGCAGAGAGAGAGAGAGAGAGAGAGAGGTCTTCTATCTGCTGGTTCACTCCCCAAATGGCTGCAATGACTGGAGATAGACAGATTAGAAGCCAGGAGCCAGGAGCTTCTGGGTCTCTCATGTAGGTGCGAGGGCCCAAGGGCCCTGGGCCATCCTCCACTGCTTTCCCACGCACATGAGCAGGGAGCTGGATTGGAAATGGCACAGCCAGGAGTTGAACTGGAGTCCCAGTATGGGATGCCGGTGTCACAAGCAGTGGCTTTACCCAATTCGCCACAGTGTCGTCCCTGGCCTTCAATTTTTAAAGAGTAGTTAATATACTAAGGCTATTAACACTTTGTAGTGCACGTTGCAAATACTTCCTCCAAATTTGTCTGTTGTCTTTCAACTTTGTTTAGGTGTTTTTGTATCATGCAAACTTTTTTTGGTTTTTATGTCATCAAATTTATCCATTTTAAAAATTATTTCCAGATTTCTAACTCATAGATAATCTTTGCTCACACCAAAGTTAAAGATAATTCAACCATGTTTTCTTCTAATACTTGTTTGGTTTCATTATTTATTTATTTACTTGAAAGGCAGAGCGACAAGGAGAGAGAAGGAAGGAGAGAGAGAGAAAGAGGGAGATCTCTCACAACATGGCCACAACAGTCATGGCTGGGTCAGGCCAAAGCCAGGAGTCAGGAACTCCATCCAGGTCTCCCTCGTGGGTACAAGGGTCCTAAGTACTCGGGCTATCTTGCACTGCTTTCCCACACACAGAAGCAGGAAGCTGGACTGGAATCGGAGCAGCTGGGACTTAGACCAGAGCTGAAAGTGGCATCCCCTATCGGAGCACTGGTGTAGGTCCCAGCTGCTCCACTTCCCATCCACTTCCCTCTACTGCGTGTGGGAAAGCAGCAGAAGATGGCCTGGGTCCCTGGGCCCCTGCACCCACACTGTTCTCCCCGCCTCTGATCAGCCTCCTTCCAGTCTTCTCCACATCACGGCCAAGATGAGCTTGCAAACATACAAATCTGACCATGTCATGTGCCTGCGAGTGACGGTGGCCGACACACCTGTCCTGTTTTCCCTTCACCTCTCACAGCTCTCTTCAGAAACATTGGCAGCCCTGTTTTAAAAGAAAACAAAAGTCTTAGTTCTGGAATTCCTTAAGAAAAACATGGGCTTCATTTTTCAATGTAAGTCACTCGCCCACTGGGAAGGCACAGTGCAGTGTGCACGTGGTCGCTGCACACATTGGTCTCGGGAGCTCTGGGTTGTGTTCTGGACCGGCTGGGATAGGCAAGGGAGGGACTGTCTCTTGAAAATCCACAATGCCATGGGGCTAGCACTCCTGGTCTGGCTGGCAGAGTTCATGGATACATTCACTCACTCACTTACTCCTTTGTTCATCCTCCGAGTGCTGAACACCCACTATGTGCCAGCCATGCTCTGGGCACTGGAAGGGGACAGTGGAGACAAGACAGACCTGGTCCCTGCCCTGTCCTCCTGTTGGAGGGAGACAGACAATGAGTGAGAAATAAATAAACAAGGTAACTTCTCATGGTAGGAACAAACAGACAAATATGATTGTCTCCTGGGAAACTAGCGCAAAGGTCTCTGTGGAGAGACATTTAGCTGACAGCAGAAGCCAGCTGTGCAAACCACAGGGGAACAGCATTTCTGGCAGAGGGAATAGCAATTGCAAAGGTCGTGTTGTAGGAAAGGAATGTATGGGAAAGAGCTCACTCTGGCTGCCGGGTGGAGAATGGGATTTAAAAACAATTTTTAAAAAATTTCAATTGATTTGAAAAGTGGAGGGAGAGGGAGAGAGCGAGAGCCATACCTTCTCTTTGCTGGCTCATTCCTTAAATGCCCTCAATAGCTAAGGCTGGACTCAGGTAAACCAGGAGCCCAGGACACAATCCAGGTCTCCCATGTGGGTAGCAGGGACCCGAGTGTTTCAACTATCACCTGCTGCCTCTCAGGGCACGTTAGCAGGAAGCCATATGGGAAGCAGAGCAGGCAGGACAGAAACCAGGCCCTCTGATAAGGGATGGGGACTTTGCAAGCTGCGGTTTAATCACCGTACCACGCATCCTTCCCAGAACATGGTTTTTAAGCACGTACCAACGGGAACAGTGGCCAGATCCGCAGAGATCTGCATTGGCAAGATTTGGAGCAGCAGAATTCCCCTAATTTCAGAGAAGTAGTTTAAGTTTGGAGATCACCACTGGAAAATACATTTCCTCTGTGCTTTCTTTACTAGAAGGCTCATACCTTGGACACCAACCTCCAAAGGCAGTGCAGCTCAGAGGCCAAGGGCATGGGCTGGAACCAGACCACTGAAGCAGGAATTCTGACCCTAACACACGAGCTGTACAATCTTGAGGAGAGTCACCTGTTCTCCTCTAACCTGTTTCCCCCTCTGCAATGTGGGAACTGGAGTAATCCCACCTCACAGGATTAGAGAAAATCATCCCTGTAAAAATGTTAACCTCTTCCCTATTTACTTGCTACTACAGGTAATCGATTGAGGAATCAATGGGAGGATTCTTTTGACAACAGAGCCATTTTGTTGGAAATGGTTCTACATCCTGCTCAGTTCCTGATTCAAGTGCGTTTCCACCCTGTGAGTCATCTCCAAACCCTTAAAATAGTTGATGTGTTAGAAGTGAACTTTGTTTTTGTTGTGGTAGAAAACTTGTGGTTACCTTTAATTGGTTTGGAAGGAGAAGATAATTGGGGCAGGGCAGGGGGGTTGCTGGTTGTGGGCGAGACAGGGAGGAGGCTGTGGGACCTCAAGGACCAGCTGGCAATCAGTGCCATTGAGGTCCCTGGGAACTCAAAAATGACAAACTACTCCCACGTAGCCTCGGTCCAACACGGGCTAGTGCTGTTTAAAGACTTTGGATTTCAAAGAGAGTGATGACAATGGCCTGGGAGAACTTACCACTCAGAGTAATTCCTCTGCAAAGTCTAGAACATCACCAGTGAAGGCAACACTGGCAGCACTGACCTCTAGGTTTTAGCACAAGATGGTCCTGGCAGCCCTCCCGTTCCTCTGAAGAATCAGGCCTGTCTCCCAGATGCAATGAAACTTGAGCAAAATGCACTCCAATGGCGAGTGCGGCGTGTAGAAACCTGTTCCCAGTCACAACACCCGGCTCAGCGGGTCTAAATAAAGAGCAGCCCAAGCTCCAGCTCCCCTGCCCCAGCGGTGTTTATGGGCGATCCGTCAACTCCCTGGGCTTCACACATCTTTGCCCTTGTCAAATCTCCCAGGCGTGGTTATGTAATGAGATGCAAAGATTTTATTCCTCAGGCTTCCTCTTGTGGAAAATGCTACAGCTTCTGGCAAGACGTTGTTACGGCTCTCGGGGAGAAGATGAGGTCCCAAGGAACAGCCAAGTACCAAAGGCTGTTGTAGAGAGGGAAGGGACAGGAGAGGTGTCTGTCACCCCCAAGACAGAAAAGGCAGGGACAGGTGGGGAGAGCTGCTTTGCTGCCTCCAGCCTTTAATGTCTGCTGAAGTGGTTGGTCTCAGGCTAGGCCTGGCACAAGTCGGTGTCTAGTCTTGTAAGGTGGAAACTGGTGGGGGGGCTCAACTTTGCATGGAGTCATGTGCACAAAACCGAGAGGCAGGAAGACGCTGAGCTGGCCAGGCAGCTGAAGTCAGCCTCACAACTACACACAGCCCCGTCCACTGACTCATTAACACCCCTGAAAGCTGGGCAAGGCCCAGCTCAACAGTCGGGGCCATGAAGAGACTGTGTGATGGGCTTGGCCATCTGGAGCTTACTGAGGCCAAGAAGTGAGGGTACAGAATCCCAGTGTGGTACTTTCTAGTTGATCTTTAGGAAGTTACTTGACTACTTTATATCTATATTAATTTATATCTATATTAATTTAAGTGGAAGATGATGATAATACCTGTTACTGCCTTGGATTAATTAACTAATTATAATACATTTAAAAATGTCCAGCAAAGGGAGCAGGCATTTAGCCTGGTGGTTACAGCACCTGAGTCCCATATCAGAGTGCCTGGGTTCAAGGTCCAGCTCTAGCCCCTTACTCCATCTCCCTGACAGTGACGACCCTAGGAAGCAGCAGGTAATGCTCGAGTGCTTGGGTCCTGGCCATTCACGTAGGAGATCTAGCCCGAGTTCCTGACTCCTGGCTCCTGGTTCCAGCTTCAGGCCAGCCTTCATCATTGAAAGCGCTTTGGAACAGAACTAGCAGATGCAATCTCTCTCTCTCAAATAAATTATCTTAGAAAACTTTTTTTTTTAATGTCGAGCAAATGTGTGACACATGGAATATCATTAAGGAATGGGAAGTTTTTTTTTTTTTTTTTAGGTCTGAAGAATCTCAAACCAGGAATAACTCATTACATGTTGAATCAGCTGATAGCCATCCATCTACTAGTCACAAAAGAAACAATTGACAATGCATGAATTTAACAGCTTATTTCAAAGTTCATTTATTTAAATTAAAGTTACACATCACAAAAAGAAAGAAAAAAATAACAAAAGAAAAGAAAAAAGAAACAAAAACAAAAACAAAAAAAAAAACAAGGAAAAAAAGAAAAAACAAAAAAAGTTACGTATCACACCAATGGATTCTACTTTTTCTAACTTTTCAGAACTGAGATTAATTTCATTTGAAACTCCCTAAAACAGCACTTGGGTCATGTTATTCTCTTCTCCAAACATTTTCAATATTCCTGTCTCTGCTGGGGAACACTGAGGCCACCTGGGTATCCTGGGGAGTCTACAGATCTGTCCCTGCTCATACATGAAGCCTGATCAGAGATCCTACCACTGGAACACGTGTCAACTTGTGGGTCCTGAAGAAACCCATTGGAGCCCAAAGGATGAGATATTTTAATTCTCAGTGGGGACTTGGAAGAAGCAGCCACAAAAGGGGTAATGAGAGGAGGAATGGGCTAAGTGCAGAAAGGGAGCACCTGGGCTGATGTGGGGGCTGGGCAGACAGGTGGGTAGTTTTCTTCTAGGGCTAATGGCTAGACTGTTTGTTGACTGACAATGAGCAAATGAATACAAAACCTAGGGAACACAACTGTAAGAATTAAAATGTTCAAGGAGGGGCCCAGAGGCTGACATATCTTCCTAGCCATCAAATATTGTTCCATTGGAATTAACGTAATGTTCGAATGTTGAGCTGTGATCTGGTCAAAGTGTAGAAATTAGGCTCTGGCAGTCTCATTTGTTTCCCTGGTGTCCATGAGACTGGAACTGGGCTCTCAGAGGAGTGGATGGCACAGCACCAGCCCCAGAAAAGTTCAAATCTCAAACTTTGAAGTATGGTTTCGACTGAACGTGTTGCATTTTCACACCACTGCGAAGTGGAAAAATTGTGGTTGAACCGCCTAAATCAGGGATCATCTATCTGCAGACTATAGAATGGGAAAGTCTGCTTCCCTGGACTCAGGTAGCATCCTTCTCACAGATTATTCTAGGGGAGCTGTTTCTTACTGGAATAGGGAGGAAGGATGGTAGTGGAAGTCGTTGGCTTGGAAAAGTGGGGACTTCCAGTTCCAGTTCTGGAAAGATAAGGACAAACACAGTATGTCAGCAGAGTGGAGCCAAGGGCTGAGCCTGACAGTAGGAGCCCCCTTGTGGCTGTTCATGTTGAGGTCTCTGGAGGGCGCCGGGAGGCTCTGTGGTGAAGCTCTCCTGCTTTTCTCTCCTGCACGAAGGTCCTCGCACTTCAAGACTCCCCAGTAGTTGATTGCTTGCAGCTGTCTTGTGCTGGCTGTGTTTGAGGGACTGAAGGAAGGGACCTAGGTGGCCTGGAGGAGGGGGCTCAGCGCAGAGAAGCCTGAACCCTGAGCAGGAAGGCTGCATGGTCCGGGGAGAAGCCTGGAACAGCCACCCGGAGAGAGAAGTGACAAGCAACCCCAAACCCAGACAGTCTCACTTCCCTTTCGGCTTACCAGCCCCTCTCCACGTTCAGCACAGCTTCCCACCTCCCTTTCGGCTTTATCCCCTCTGTTCTCCCCTCTCAGAGCGAGGGCACCAGATGTTAGACCTGGAGGTAACTTTGACAGTGAAACTCCAGGCTCCCACCTCTCCCCTCTGTTCACGTGTTGGGCTACATGGTCTTGCTGTCTCCTTCCAGCCCAAACGGTCCAAAAGTCCATGCTGATTTTGCAAGAATAAATAGTTGTGGTTCAAATACGTCTCTTGCTCAACTTTTCAGATCTAGAGATTTCGTCACGTAACCAATGCCAAGAATCCGTATCCCAGAGGCCTTCCTCTCATCATTTAAGATGTTCAAGAAGATAATTTAGCCTCAGTACTGGTTGCCAGATTGACAATCTGAAAAACAAGAGGTGAAATCCAATCTGGGTAGAGCCTGTGCCCACTGCTATTTTTAGGGGAAAGATTATTCACCCATATGGGCAGCTGGGAATAGAGCGTTGCTGGGAGTGGGTAGGGATTCAACACAGTCTTGCCCCTGAATCTCCTGCTCTCAGAGGCGACACGGGGTGGAGGATGGAAGGGACGGGCATGGTTCTGGGGCTGGAGGGGTACGATGCAGGGTTTCCCAAAAACCATGGGACTTTTTGCAGAGCGATAAAATTAATCCTTCCTTCTAAAAATAGCCCTCTAAGAAACCAGATGCCTGGGTTTAATTATAGTCACCACGTATTGAGTATGTACCAAGGTAACAAGCCAGGAATTGGTTCTTCGCACATATTATGTGGGGCAACCCGGCTCCAACCCCATGAGGCAGGTCTTCCTATTCCCACTCAACAAATGAACATGTGGAGGGTCTGGGGAGAAATTCAGTTGTTTTCGTTTCCCTAGGTGAGATGTTTCCAGACTGATCTAGTTGCATATAGGAATAAACCCAAAGTCTTGGGGTCCATCTCCGTCCTAGTGAGTCACGGTGTTGGACTGGGGCAGGTGGTTCTGGTGCGCGGCCCAGTTTGAGAACTGCTGTGCTAGATGCAGATGGGGACTGGGAACTCCAGAAGTGCACAGTCAGGGCCACCATCGTGCTCCTTCAGCCTTGAGCCTTAAGTGTCCTGCAGCTGCCTTGGACTTCTTTGCATTCCTGGTTTGAGCCCAAGTCCCTGTGACCTCACAGGCCCCTCCCCTCCCCTCCCCCTCACGTTTCAGCTTGATGCCGCTGCCTCATGGACATGGCCTCGTCTGCCTGGACAGGGTGAGATGCCCCTGTACTTTCTCCCAGACGCGTTTTGGGCTGTAACAATACATTACGTGAACTTTAACAGTTAATGTGGTTCTCAGCTGTTAGGTAGGAAACACCAGAAAGGCAGGGGTTAGGACTCATTTACTCAAAACTGGACTCCCTGCAGCTTATCCAGGATGTGGAAGTCTGTGGTTGGGTGGAGGGAGGGACAAGTAAATCAGCTGAGAGGGTGGAAAAGCGGGAACAGGAGATTTCGGTTTCAGCCCGGTTTTGTGTTAATTTAAGAAACACAGGACGATTTACAAACCTCTCCCCGCTCTGAGATTCTATTTAACTCCCCTGATGAAAGAGAAGCTGGAGGAGAATCATGGGTCAAACTTCTCCAAGAATCAGAGTTGGTTTCACAAAGTGAGTCCCAAGCCTTCCCCCAGACAGCCTGAAAGTACTTCAAAAAAGCTCATGGAAAAATGACATTAAAAAACAAGTTTGTTTTGGTGCAAAACAGCTTTGAAACTCATGCACAGTTTCTACAGAATATACATTCTTTTTTTTTTTTTTAATTATTTATTTGACACACAGAGAGAGGCAGAGGTTGAGATCCTCTGTGGCTTCCAGCCCCAAGTGACTGCAACAGCTGGGGCTGGCCAGGCCAAAGCCAGGATCCAAGCACTTCTTCCAGATCTGCCACGTGGGTTCAGGGGTCCAGGCCCTTGGGCCGTCTTCCTAGGCATATTAGCTTTCCTAGGCATATTAGCAGGGAGCTGGATCAGAAGTGCAGCAGCAGGACTGCAGCCACCACCACTATGGGATTCCAGCATTGCAGGTGGTAGCTACTCACAACACAGGCCCCCGGAATACACATTCTTCATGAGTTTTTCAAAACCCCTTGTATGCATGGATTTCAATTTTTTTTAAATCAAGTTTGTTTATTTTCATCTACTTAAAATGCAGAGCGATGGATGTGTGGGAAAGAGAGAGAGAGAGAGACCTTCCATCTGCTTGTTCACTACCCCAATGTGCCTCAACATTCAGGACTAGGCCAGGCCAAAGCCAGGAGCTAGGAAATCTATCTGGGTTTTCCACGTGGGTAGCAGGGGCCAAGCACCTGAGCCGTCACCCACTGCCTCCAAGGGTGCATTAGCAGAAATCAGGATCAGAGGCAGAGATGACAGGACTCAAACCAGCGCTCAGATATGTGATCCCAGCATCTCCAGGAGTGGCTTAACCTGCTGCACCACTTTACAAAGATCAGCACACCATGTACGGAACACCAGAGGCAGTGAATGTGTGGCTTCATGAATTGTAAGGGGAATGTCCCTTAATCACTACCAGGTCACGAAACAGAGCTTCCACAGGCTCCCCCGGAGTCCCACTCCCCCTAAAAGTAAGCCCTCCTGTGACTTCAGGCTGTCACTTGCCGATCCTCTTTGCAGCCCCGTCACCAAGCTGTGCTTTCCCTATCGCTGTGGTTCAGTCCTGCAGCTCAAAGACGTTTGTTTTGTCATAGACGTCTCACCAGATTTGCAGGTTTGCTCCCCAGCCCGCTCCGACAAGCAGCATTTCACAGGGAGCGGTTCCCGCAGTCTGGGTTTGCTGAACTGCACACTCACAGTGCGGTTCAGCGTGTTCCTCTGAGCCCTGTTTCCTGAGAGTTGGCAGCTGAATCAGAGATTGTATCGGTCTCATTCCCAGCCCCTTTGGCAAGACCATAGGTGGGGGTGTGATCTTTCATGGGAGGCACAGCATGCTTGCTTCTCCTCCCTGCCGTCCCCCTCCCCCTCCCTTCTCCTCCTCGTCCCCCTGCTCCTCTCCCTCCTCCCCGTCCCCCTGCTCCTCTCCCTCCTCCTCGTCCCCCTGCTCCTCTCCCTCCTCCTCGTCCCCCTACTCCTCTCTCTCCTCCTCGTCCCCCTGCTCCTCTCTCTCCTCCTCATCCCCCTGCTCCTCTCCCTCCTGCTCGTCCCCCTGCTCCTTTCCCTCCATCCTGTCCCTCCTCCTCATCCCCCTGCTACTGTCCCTCCTCCCTTTCCCTCCTCCTCCTCTCCCTTCTCCCCGTCCCCCTCCTCCTCTCCCTTCTCTCCGTCCCCCTTCTCCTCTCCCTCCTCCTCATCCCCCTGCTCCTCTCCCTCCTCCCCGTCCCCCTTCTCCTCTCCCTCCTCCTCGTCCCCCTGCTCCTCTCCCTCCTCCCTGTCCCTCCTCCTCATCCCCCTGCTCCTGTCCCTTCTCTCGGCTTGCTGCTGGCCACCGTTGATGCTGGTGTTCATGCCTAGATCTATCATTCATTGGGGCCCACAAAATGATGACAGTCTGATTCTAGAATTCCTGTCCCTACTTTAAGGTTGTATTTAATGCTGAAAAGGTTTTATGAAGAGAAGCTTTCCCTCACCTGCAGTTTGGGTATGCAGTGATCACCGTCACACAGGGAAGGCAAGATACATTCTTCTTTTCCCTTTATGTATCACTTGTCAAGTAACATTAGTTCTCTACCACATTCTGAAGGTGATCGTCTACTTTAAAAAACATCATTAATAGGGGCTGGTACTTGGCCATATGGCCATATGGGCGCCAGTATTTTCCGGCTGCTCCGCTTCTGATCCAGCTCTCTGCTGTGGCCTAGGAAAGCAGAGGAAGATGGCCCAAGCGCTTGGGTCCCTGTCCCTATGTGAGAGACGCAGCTCCCGGCTCCCGGCTCCCGGCTCCCGGCTTCACATTGGCCATTGCAGCCATTTGGGGAGTGAACCAGCAGAAGAATGATCTCTCTGTCTCTCCCTCTCTCTGTCTGTAACTCTGCCTCTTAAATAAACCTATAAAAATATATCATTATGAATGCATATACTTAAACGTAATTATTGGGTTTCAGTCTATTGTGATTATTATTCTTGTCAAAGCTCAGATAGCTCATCTGTGGCCAAGGGAATCTCTCCAGTAGGCTCCACGGGCTTCTGGACCTGTCTCTAGTGGTGTGTGATAGCTTCCACTAGTCTGACTTGAGGTTTGCGGCTCATCTTGTGCATCTCCGCCCTGAGCCTGCACTTGGCCATTTCCCCAAGATGCTCTGCTTTATGTTACTGGGAAATGCCATCTCAAGAGCACAGTCTGGAGGCTGGCATTGTGGTCTAGTAAGTTAAGCCTCCAACTGCCTTGCTGGCATCCCATATGGGTACCGGTTGTGTCCCAGCTGCTCCACTTCTAATCCAGCTCTCTGCTATGGCCTGGGGAAGCAGTAGAAGATGGTCCAAGTCCTTGGGCCCCTGCACCCATGTGGGAGACCCGGAAGAAGGTCTTGACTCCTGGCTTCAGACTGGCCCAGCTCTAGCCCTTGTAACAATTTGGGGAGTGAACCAGCAGGTGGAAGATCTTTCAGTTTGTCTCTCCCTCTCTCTGTAACTCTGCCTTTTGAATAATAAGAATAATAATAAACCAAAATCTTCAAAAAAAACCCCACAATCTGGGTACCAGAGAGAATCATTGCTACTTGAGTTTATCATTTTAGCTAGGCCTCATCAGTAGACAGTGCTAGTATAACTTTTTTTTTAAGTTAAAATACTTCTTGAGTTCACACTGATACTTCCAATTTGAATTCAGGGCTACCGAGTTTTCACTTCATTGCTTCCATATTGCATCTTAATTTCCCTGCTTGTACATCCACAATTGTAGATCTCAAAGACCCTGGCAGTGATGGAATTAGAACATCTCATAGTGATTCATCAACTATATCCCATATCACATGCATTGCCATCTCAGAATAACAATACTAATCCTAGCACCATTAATACAATTAAGAGAAGTTAAAATTTCTTTTTGTACAATGTCTTAGTTAATTTTCTGTTGCTATAGCAGGATGCTGCAGTTTGGGTAATTTATTAAGAAGAGAAATGTATTTCTCAATTTTGGAGGCCAGGAAGTCCAAGATCATGGTGTTGGCCTCTGCCTTTTTAAAAAAAAAAGATTTATTTATTTATATGAAAGGCAGAGTTACAGACAGAGAGAAGAAGAGACAGAGAGAGAGGTCTTCCATCTGCTGGTTCACTCCCCAAATGGCAGGAGCTGAGCCAATTCAAAGCCAGGAGCCAGCAGCTTCTTCCAGGTCTCCCATGTGGTTGCAGGGACCCAAAACACTTGGGCCATCTTCTGCTGTTTTCCCAGGCCATAGCAGAGAGCTGGATGGGAAGTAGGGCAGCTGGGACTCGAACCAGCACCCATATGGGATGCCAGCAAGGCAGTTGGAGGCTTACCTCACCCGCTCTGCCACAGCACTGCCCCCGCCCCTCCAGAACCACTTCTAAAGCCATACATGCACAGGGCTCCCTGAGCTTGCCTTGTGGATACTGCACATAACTAAGTCTAAAGTGCTGTCCAGCTAACTGATGCCCAGGCAGTGGAGAGAAGCAGCATGTTAGTCCACTGTTTGTTACTTTAATGGAAATATCTGAGACGAGCTTCTTGGGGAAGAGGTGTACTTTGTCTCACAGTTCAAGGTTACATTTCTGGGTCAGGCAGCCCCAGAGTCTGGTGTCTGGTGGAGGGAGATTCATCCTGGCAGGTGTGGAGGCATGATCACATGGCGAGCCAGGAAGCAGAGAGAGCAACTACGCAGAATTCAAACTCAAATAACCAGCCCTATCTCCAGAACCACCCCCTGAGGCCGTGACCCCAGTGATCTAGAGACCCCCCACCAGACCCAACTCTCAGACTCCTTACTTGGATCCCATCTGCAGCCTTAACCCATCAACCATTAACATGAAGACACCAGAGTGTAAATATCTGCATACATTTTAGGAACACAGGTCCCATTCAGCCCATAACAAGCAGCGGCAACATTTTCAAGGAAACTGGCCTCAAATCTCTGCCACCTTCCCTCCTGGGATGCTCATCGTTGGAGAAGTTCAAGCCAAGATGTTCCCCAACTCCACGCTATTGTGCCTGGACTGGAAAAATGGTCTATGTTGGGGATTCAGACTAAACTGGTTCAAAGACAGACCACGTGTTGGAAAAGCCCCATTCCCTCTGTAGGCCGGCGCCGCGGCTCACTAGGCTAATCCTCCACCTACCGGCGCTGGCACACCGGGTTCTAGTCCCGGTCGGGGCGCCGGATTCTGTCCCGGTTGCCCCTCTTCCAGGCCAGCTCTCTGCTATGGCCCGGGAGTGCAGTGGAGGATGGCCCAAGTGCTTGGGCCCTGCACCCCATGGGAGACCAGGAGAAGCACCTGGCTCCTGCTTTCGGATCAGCGCGGTGTGCCGGCCGCAGCGCGCTGGCCGCGGTGGCCATTGGAGGGTGAACCAACGGCAAAGGAAGACCTTTCTCTCTCTCTCTCTCTCTCTCTCTCTCTCACTGTCCACTCTGCCTGTCCAAAAAAAAAAACAAACAAACAAAAAAACAAAACAAAACAAAACAAAACATTCCCTCTGTAACAGGTCCCAGAAACCCGGCAGGAAGATGTTTTTGCCATGATGAGCTGAGTCCACCCAAGAGGAAGTGGGAGGGGGTGAGGGGCCCCGGGCAGCTGGAGTCTCATCTCTGCAGGTCTTGTTCCCTGTGCTCTCTCGCATTGCATCTCCCTTACTGTTCTAAGCCTGAGCCGCCTTTGGGGACTAAGCTCTCCATTCTAGTTGCCATTGCTGGTCCATTCTTACAGGGTAACGGGATGGGAATCCACCTGTATGTGCTTCTTAGAATCCTGCTCACCCAGCGTAAGCTCTTCAGTCAAGCCTGCCTGCACTTACCGGGCACAGGCAGACAGATCAGTGCTCAGCATTAACAAACACTAAAATTGACTCCTTGCAGCAAAGCTGGCTGCTGCTGCAGGCCTCTCTTTCGGAGATGGAATTACGTTTTTGTAATTTGAAAAATTATGGCTAATTCCTCTGAGTTCCAGAAGCTCATGTTGTATTTGGAAGCAAAAGAGACCCACTTAAAAAAAACACAGCCAAAATGCAGCCTGCTGTGTCCAGATGACGTCCATGCTGGGGGTAACATGGAAACAAGGCCAAGAGCGCCGCTGGGCTGACACAGCCCTTTCTCTTCCTTCTGGGACTTTCTGGCTTCTTTCCCTCATAGAAACACAGAATACAAAGGGAGTTCCAAAACTGTGAGAAAATACAATTAAAAGACAAGTTTATCTTATTGCAAAAATTTGAAATCCATGCTCGGTTTTAAATACAATGCATCTTCTATGGACTCTGTGAAGACCCCTCCTACGCTTGGATTTAACTTACCTTTTAACTCCATTTCCCTGGTGCTCTGAGAAGTTCTCTCATTTGCCAGAGGCAGACGTAGCTTTTTCCACCTGTGACCATTTCAGCCTTGTCCTCAGGAGGGCTGGAGTGCGGGGCCGCTGTCTCCCTGAAGAGCCCTGGTGTGTCCACACGGCTGCCCTCGCTTCGCAGGATGTCCGCGTGTCAAAGGAAAATCGAAACGGAGCAGTCACCAGAACAAGTCAATGAATGGATTTCCACAGCCGTCTCCCTTCAGCTGCAGACTCCATGGCAACTTGCAAACAAGACCTCGACTTGCTGTGCAGCCAGCAATCACCTGAGCTAACCTAGATGCCCAGTCCTGGGCAGAACGCTTCCCACGGACCCCAGCCTCACCGGCGTTGTCTCTAACTCTCACCCTCAGCAGAGCAAGCTATGAAGAACAGCACGAGCTTTGTCCAAATCTGTCCGTGCCTGATATCCGTGATAGCCCTCCCTGAGCAACCCCCCAGGAACCCGGAAGGTGCAAACCCACTCTTCTCTGCCATTAGAATAATGTCAATAGAAAAATGGAAAAACCTGGAGGCCAGGGGTCGGCACATTACAGCATACTGGCCAAATCTGGCCTGCTGCTGCTATTTGTAAACAAAATCTTATTGGAACACAGATACACCAGCAGTTAGGAACCCTGATCCCACGTCAGGGTCCCTGGGTTTGAGTCTCGACTCTGGCTCCTGACTCCAGCTCCCTGCTAATGCAGACCCTGGAAGGTAGCAGGATGAGGCAAAAGACTGGGTCCCTGCTACCCACGAGGGAGACCTGGGTTGCATTCTAGCCTCCTGGCTTTGGCCCTGGCGCAACCCCGCCCTTGCCTTTGCAGGCATCTGGAGAGCGAACCAGCAGACAAGAGCTCTCTCGCTCTCTCTCTCAAATAAATAAGTAAATAAATAAATATTTAAATAAAACTTTAAAACTCTTACCAACAGTTGTTTATGGATTTGAGTAACTTTTAACTCCCTATTGCGTAGCAATGTTAAAATCAGGTAAGTGGAACATGTGACATTTTTTCCCTATAAGAGGAAATAAAGTAGCTTTGTAAAAAACTTCCATGAAGTCCTTTTTCTTCAGGCAAAGGATGAAAGAAGCAGAGGAAGGGGTTCTGAGCCTGGTGCCACCCCTGGAGGCGGGGCGGTCCCTCCTAGTCTGAGGGTGGAGAGACGACCGGCCCTGGATTCCCACCGAAGAGCCCAGGTGTGCCCCACAGAGGACACGCAGCCCGTAGCCAAGTGCCCGGGATGCGACAGCGCCCAGCCGGAGGCGCGGATCCCCAGGTCTGCAAGCTCCCGCGACTGCGCCCTGCAGGACGCACGCACAGCAGTCTTTGCAAAGGCACCTTCACTTCCCTGGCCCTGGTCGCCGCCCTCCTTTAGTGAGCAAGCCCTCTCGCAATTACAGACGCCCGCCAGGATCCCTCATTACTCTCCCCCCAACGCCTCCCCGAGCCCCACGACCCCAGACCAAGCAGGCCTTGGTGGCGCTGGCGGAGAAACCCCGCAAGCTTCCCTTCTGCCCCCCACTTCAGGGGGCTACATCTTCCTACTCGCTTTGCCTCCACTGCCTTCCTTGCATCCAGAGACGGACCCTGTGTATTCAGCATGGCCGGGTGGGCGCCCGGATGCCGCGGGGAGCAGCGCCCCCTGCCCACCCGCTCCACCAGTCCACAGGAGAGAAAACGGATGTTGTCACGTGTGCCACAGTATGCTGCGACTCTCAGAGCAACGCAGCCTATCCTTAACGGAAAGAATGACTGTCAAGTGCAGCCAGGTACTGACTCTCCCCCAGTGCCCGGCCCGGCTCTTCTCTGCTGCGCCCGTCTCACTCTGGCCCTCGCTCTCCTGCGCTTGCCCGGATGCTTCTGAGTGCACATTGGAAGGTATCCTTTCCCGTACACTGTGCTGTTTCTGGCCACGGGCCTCCTGGCAATGCAACATGTCCATCTATCTCCACCATGTGTCTTCTCATTGCTACAGGTATGCCTGGATTGACTTTGTGAAGGGTGGCGCTCAAAGTCACAGCCCAAAGAAGACGGAGAATTTGGACAAAGTATGGATCTTCTCTTGCAAAAAGCTATTGATTTGTTAATTGTAGCCAGTGTAGGTACTCTGAGATGGGAGATGCCAATATGAAGAAATCGGACGTGGGTAACTCTCTGTATTGTCGTGTCAGTTTTGGACTAGATCTAAAACTCTTCTAATGTTAAAAGTTTAATTTTAAAAAAGGGGGGAAAAATGGGGGAATAGGAAGCTTTATAGACACAAATCCAGGAAGCAGAGCCAGGTAACTCACTGTTGGATTAAACTCCCTGATCACAAGGAGGTGCAGAGAAAAGGAACAGGCAGGTGGGAAAATCTCCTAGCAGAGCAATTCAGGAACCAAGTCTCAAATTTGGCGAGTTAAGAAGGCAGGGCTTAGCCCAAACAAAGCCAACTGAGCTCATATCTTTACCTCTTCTCCTTTGGAATGCCTTTTTTTTTTTTTTTTTTTTTTTTTTTGACAGGCAGAGTGGACAGTGAGAGAGAGAGAGAGACAGAGAGAAAGGTCTTCCTTTGCCGTTGGTTCACCCTCCAATGGCCACCGCGGCCGGCGCGCTGCGGCCAGCGCACTGCACTGATCCGAAAGCAGGAGCCAGGTGCTTCTCCTGGTCTCCCATGGGGTGCAGGGCCCAAGAACTTGGACCATCCTCCACTGTACTCCCGGGCCACAGCAGAGAGCTGGCCTGGAAGAGGGGCAACTGGGACAGACTTCGGCGCCCCGACCGGGACTAGAACCCGGTGTGCCAGCGCCGGTAGGTGGAGGATTAGCCTAGTGAGCAGCAGCGCCGGCTGGAATGCCTTCAAAATGAAGGCAGTAGTGTTTGGTACAGCAGTTAAGATGCCACTTGCAACTCCTGCATCCTGTATCGGAGTTTCAGTCCTGGCTCTGTTTCTGAGTCTGGTCTCCTGCTAACATGCACTCTGGGAGCAGAAGGTAGTGACTCAAGTACTGGAGTCCCTGCCACCCTTATGGGAGACTTGGATCGAGTTCCTGGCTCCTGGCTTTTGCCTGGCCCAGCCTGATCTGTTGTTGGGCATTTGCTCGCTCTCTCTCTCTCACTCTCGCTCTCTCTCTGCCTTTCAAATTAAGAAAAAAGTAAAAAAAAAAAAAAAAGACAATAAGGTTGTGTTTTGTTTTTAGTATCTTTTAAAAAGGTCTACTCAAAGAAACACAAAGAATAGGGAGATAAATAGCTAAAAGAGATTGAACAAGTTTTAGAAGCTGAGTGGTAGTTGCTTGGATGAGGGTCAGTGACCTGGTGACAGCAGAGAAAGCACAGCTTCACTGGGGTCCAGGTGAAGCCAACTGAAGGTCAAGGGTGGAAAGGAAGATAGACTAAGATGTGGGCTCCAGGAAACAGAGGAGCAACTGGGTAAAAGAAGTCCCCAAGATGAGCAGGCGTGGGGAGTGACCAGTGTGGACCCAACAGGAAGCAGAGCTCTGGGAAGGCCATCTGTGGTTAAATTCTTAAAGCACTCGTTAACTCCAGGAAATGTTTAAAAGTACAGAGAAAAGAATACACTGTCTTACTGGAGCCGGCATAAAAAGCATTTGGGATCACCGAGTACAGTTGTTACTGGTGGAAGAAGGTTTTGGATTGTGAGGAGGTTGGGGGAGGGTGCAAGTGCTGAGTGGCACGTCAGAGCGCCACGACCCGGCCTGGAGAATGCGAGGTCACACGCCCGGGGTGGGAAGTCACAGAGCGCGTTTTCTAAGTGGGGAGGTGGAGACTCTAAAGAGGAATTAAATTAAAATGAGGTCACTGGGGTGGGCTCTAGTCCAGCATGACTGCATGGAGTCCTGATGAGAAGGGGCGATCAGGAAGCAGGGGCACAGAGGGGAGACCGTGTGCGGTCACCGGGCAAAAGCCCAGAAGTGGGGCTCGGGGCCAGCAGATCTGCTCATACCTTGCTTTGTTCTCCACAGCTGTGAGTATTATGTAAGCACACCCCACCCCACGCTGCCGCGCCCGCCTGTGTGTGCTGTACTCTATTACAGCAGCCCGGCACGCTAACACACCTGCGCTCTCCCCGTGGAAGCGGGTGGGGTGGAGATGGGCAGAGCTAATTTTGACCCTGACCAGGCTTTTTAAGGCTGGCGTGCCAGGTTGAGCTCTGATTCTTTCACCACAGGGCAGTGAATGTTGGTAAAGGATTCTTCCCCTTGCTGTGGCCTCAGGTCAGCTAAGTCTGGCTGCAAAGGGTGACGTTACTGCTCGGCTCAGCCCAAGTGTCCTTGGACAGTGGGTCTGCCGCTGCTGTCGGGCTGTGGGAGGGACCACCAGCACAGACATCCCGGATTTTCATGAAGTGCAGTGAACTATTCTTCAATCCCTTTGCAGAAGCTGTCCCTTCTTGCCTTTGGGGCTTTGCTCTTTGGAAGCTGCAGTGACGCAATGCACTGGCGGATTTTTGTGGAGAGCATGCGTACTGCCTTCTTTTGTTTTCCTTTCCCGCAGATGCTGCGGCCATCTTGCTGTTTTTACTCTAGAGACGCCATAAGTTGTGAAGGATCACCCTAGGGTTCGGGGAAAGCCCAGAGCTAGCAGTGCTACAGGCTCCCCAGCTCTGCCCAGAAATGCAAATCGCCTGCCTGGGAAGACCTGTTGGATCATGGGAGGGAAACCTCACCCTAACTGGGAAGACACTGCAGCCACAAATAGGCCTCTTAGATTGTGGTCCGCGGGGCAGCAGACAGCCCCTGCCGTGTGCGCGCTGCTCCCTCGCAGCGTGCGGCTGCAGAAGTCAGCTTCTAGCTGTCCTGCCTGCCCGCTGCGCCGCTGCAACGTGTCTGCTTGCTCTGAATTCTCTCACCACAGCGACACTGGCCTCAGTCAGTCACTTCCAATGACGTAAGTGTTTTCTGAGTGAACCTCTGCATGTTCCGATGCAATCTCATGATCTTGCATGCGCATAAACATGAACACTAAAGAGACAGAGCTGCAAAGTCCCAGGGACAGCTCAGTACTACTACGGAGACATGACCACTTCCATGAGTCCAAACCTGGGGAAGCGAAACAATAAGGAAACATCTCCCACTCAGGAAAGTCATGTTCCCTTCTTTGTAATTTTTTTTTTTTTGACAGGCAGA